GCTGCTTGGGTTTTCATGGCTGTCAACCAGCAAATTGAGCGTATTTGTTTGAAAAGAAAAGCAAGAACGCGAACAAGAAAGGAGAGAAAAGGGGTACAATAAAGGGAAAAATAAAGGAAAGAGAGAGGGAGGGAGACCAGAGGTAGTCCTGGACATCCCTGGATTTGGCAAGTTTGGAGGTCTAATGGCGTCGGCAAATGGCTGTATAGAAATGTGATTTTCCCAGCCACTCTGTGTAGGCAGTGAAACCTGCCTTTATGTGGAGGATATCAGTCACTGGCTGGCGGCCCCATGGATGTGCTGCTGCTTTGCGGCCCTCTCTGCAGTGATAGAAGTGGGATGGCTCCTTTCTGCGGCCGCATGAGCATGTCAGTGGGATTCTAATAGAGTCGGCATCAAATAGACTGCAGGGCAGCTAGTTTAGGTTCATCCTTTGATAGTGAGCAGTTCAACGTTGCTGCATGGTCTGGCTGGGGTAAACAAAACCATCCTAAGTCTGAGGCCAGGATCCAGGAACAAATGGATAACAGATGTAGTAATAAAACCATTGGTCGCGCAAATAAGCACACATGATGCCAATATTGGTGATGGTTAGCAGGCCGCTCAAAGCAGCGTCAGGTGCTGCCGTTTTGGGCCACTGGCTAAATGTGACGGCCAACGCAAACTTCAACTGCCAATATCAACAAACAAAACCGTCGAGGCAACCGCCGCCAGCTAGGCAAGCAAACAAACAAAGCACTGGCGCTTCCGCGCAACCCATAGATATGATACCCCTTTATCCTGTAGATGGATGAATCTTCTTCTTTTTCCCTCTCCAGATTAGAAAGATTCGATATTCTCGTCGTATGGCTACCTGATCTAGATAGGAATATCATTTCGTTAGTATCTACTAGTCCGAGACCGTGACACCATGGACATGTTTTAACCTATCAGTAGGAAGTAAAAGCAAACTGTGGCTATGTAAAGATGCCAAGTGACTTAGTGTTTGGGGTGGAAGCAGAGCAGCCAATGAACAGTGTCTGCATAGCTAGACCTCGGCACCGCCCGTAGCCCGTCCGTCTGAGCCCGTAGGGCGGCCACCAGGCGCCCGCGCCCGCCCAGGGTGCCCATCGATGGGCGCGTGGGTTTGGGCCGTGGGCGGGAGTACCCCGCCCATGGACGAGCTTTAGCGAGGTCTAGTTAGTTAACGTATTCCACAGGCGAGCTGCGCACACGGGCGAGTTGCGCACCTTGTATTCCCATATAAAATGTGCTATATTTGAATGCTTATATCTCAACAACAGCTGAATTATATGGAAGTATACTAAATATATTGCTTATTTACCAGTATACGAAAAGGTTTAGGCTATCGAAATTCGAGACTTGCAAATAATTGTCTTAAATACACATTGTATCATAAAATACAGCGTAATTAATATTAACTTAATGATTAGGGTATAACACTCTGCAGAATTCAGTATACATAATATTTATAGTGTATAATTGCATCATATACAATATCATACAAAAATTTCTTAAACTGGTGGAGATGTGAGCATTCAAAAGTTGCACATTTATATGGGAATACAGTGTGCGCAACTCGCCCGTGTGCGCAGCTCGCCTGTGGAATACGTTAACTAGTTTATGCTCGGGTAGACCACATTAAGATGAGATAACCACAGCTTTCCTAATTTGACGGATTTACCTGGCTTGGAGGCTATTTAGTGGCATACCCTGCATTTTCGACATGAGTAATGGCAGCTGGCTCAATCATGTCTTGAAACGGAGACTCCGTAAGGCTCTGGAAAACCTCATGAGTCAGTAAAAGACATTTTGTATTAGTGGATCCTTTCGTGCCTGCTGTCAATCGGAATCAAATCCATTGCCGCAAGTCCGCTATTCTGATTTGAGCCTCAGCCAGGCCTTAGCTTGGATCTAAGTGCCACATTTAATGAACTCTCTGTCCACTTGTCGTCGCTATGTATCAACTTGAAATACGGAATACATACTAAAGCGCGTAGTGATCTCCGCTGCTGACTCAATGAGAGCCCCATCGAGCTTCTTTTTAAGGGGCATCAGGCTGGTTTGGACCTTGCTATTTATTATCATCTCACCACACCACTTTCCCCGGACTGACAATACGGGTTTGAAAATGCGAATGGCCAAGAGTGCTCACGTGAACAAGAGAATCTTCGTCACTGTTCTGGTCGTCCTCATTCTTGTCAACTCTTACCATCTATGGCTTGGAAAGCGGTATTTCAGCCATATTGCCCGGGCGGCACTCCACGATCGCCAGGCGCAGTTCCGTGATAATTTTTATTACTTGCTTGATAAATATGCGCCCCGATGCTCGCCCCTGGAATTGGTTGGTTCGGCAGGGTGGCCGAGATACGACGCGGTGTTTGAAACCGTTCGGAAGAATCATATCAATAACGCCGACGAAATCCTACGGCCTATGCAGATAGCGCACGATGGTTTTGTTCAGTCGATCCAGAAGCTTGATGTCCCTTATCTCATTCTCACAGAGGGCATCGTGTCTTCGGCAGGGGGTAAATATATGCCGACCTTTGTAGTAACCCTGCGTTTGCTGCGACGAACCAGGTGTACATTGCCGGTAGAGCTGTTCGTCAAAGATTCAACTGAATATGAGCCGCAAATCTGCGAGAGGATTCTCCCAGAACTCAATGCACGATGTGTAGTGCTCTCAGAGGTGATGGGTCTGGAAGAACCAAAGAACAGTAACAAAGCAAATAGGGCCGATGGGGTAAAGATCGAGCACTACCAACTCAAATCCTTCGCGGTCCTCTTCTCATCATTTGAAAAAGTCATCTGGCTAGACGCAGACTGCATCCCCATCCACAACCCCGCAATTCTCTTGACCACTGACCCTTTCCAATCCACCGGCCTCGTCACTTGGCCCGATTACTGGGCTAGCACCATCTCCCCATTATACTTCACCATCTCCCGCCAACCCGAGTTTCCCAGCACAGACCGTGCAACAACCGAAGCTGGCGTGTTCCTAGTCTCCAAGAAAGCCCATTCCCGAACCCTCCTCCTAGCAGCCTACTACAACTACTATGGTCCATCACATTACTACCACCTCCTTGACCAGGGCGCCCCGGGAGAAGGCGACAAGGATACATTCATCCAGGCTGCTGCCGCTGTGGGCGAGAAATTCTACACGGTCAGCGAGAAGGTCGCAGACTTGGGCCATCAGCGGTATGAAGGGAATGACCACGACATCATCCACGTGGCGATGCTGCAGGCCGATCCGATGGAGGACTACAAGCTCACTCAGCAGGGGAAATGGCGGGTTGAGGATACATCTGAGGCCCCTGCCCCGCGGGCATTTTTCATCCATGCGAACATGGTCAAGTTCAACCCCGGAGAGAAATTGTTGGAGGAGAGTTCGAACAAAAATGATGATGGAAGAAGGAGAATGTGGGCTGCTCCGGAGACGTCTGTTCGGCGGCTTGAATATGATGTTGAACGGGCGGCTTGGGAGGAGGTTATGGCGGTGAGCTGTACCTTGAGGAGTGCGTTTGAAACATGGGAAGCTGGGGATGGGTTGTGCGAAGATGTCAAGATGCATTGGGCGGCTGTGTTTGAAAATCGGGATACTGATGGACTTCATTTTACGCAACAATAATTGCTGACGCTTTGTATATATATTTGGACATAATGATTCTGGTATCTTCCCAGACGGCACTCCCGAGTACCCAAAACACGGCGAGCAAAGAGCAAGATTTTTTTCTAGGGTTTTGTCAAGCCTCAGGATTCAGATCAAGAAATTTCTGCTCAAAGATTCTCGCACCCGGTTCGAAAGAGCATGCGAGCTTAACAGAATCAGATGAGATAAAAAGAACCGCGACTACGCAGAGCTTGTGCTGAGGCTGGAATCTGAGGATGTGAGGAGTGGAGATCAATTGGTCGAAAATATCGTGCATTGAATTTGGAGCCGTCGCGTGGCCTGTAAAAGAAATACTCAAAATACGGCCGGAAATTGCATATTTTATGCAAGTCACGAGGTATTCGGTGTTTGCATTGTTTTTAGTCCCATGGCAAATGTCACGGCCTAATGATCCCTAGCCAGATTGAACAATAGTTGGGCAAAATTCATGATAGGATGCGTTAAATTTGCAGGAAAGAGGGTGATGCTCCAGCCATTCCAGTGGGAGTTTATATGCCCTTTGGCTCTTGGATGATAATAGTTGTGAACCACTTTTGACTGCAGAGACTGCCAGTTGAGATGGACAATTGATGCTTAATGCTGACAAAAGAACAGGCCAAGAATCTAATACATAAGTCAAGAGTAGCTTCCCAAGCTCCTTTGGGGGAGAGGGGGAGCGTATTATGCTGGTATACTGGCAAAGAAAATCACATAACACAAGTGGAAATCACTGGATTAACATCAACAAGACATCGCTACTGAACAACTATCCCTGAACAAACTCCTCAACTGCACATGCAATCTGTCTCACAGACTGCTCCTCGCTTAGCAACTCAGAATGACGCCCGTCCGCCACCACGACTCTAATCTCCGACATCACCTCCTTAAACCCATTGTAACTACAGATCTCCTTCAAACTTGCTTATGTCATCAGAGGCCTTGATGAACAAGACACGCCCCCCATACCACCTCGCCACGAGGTATTTTGTGTAAAGCACCAGGTTATACTTTACTTCTTTCAGCATGCCTCCGCGGATATTCATGGCACCGGGTGTTTTGCAGGACGTCGCCATTGGGACATTGAACCACTTCTCGCAGTGCTCGTCTTGTGATTTGGCTGGGGAGTGGTGGGCGGTAGTTGACGTGTGCGTCGATGATGATGAGATGCACCGTCTCGTTCTCCTGGCGAAGGCGATGGCTGACTTCAAGGGCAACATTAGCGCCAAACGAGAAACCGCAGATGTAATACGGTCCATGCGGCTGGGCACGGCGAATGAGGGATACCTGTGCAGATTCCTTTTGTCAGTCTGAAGTGCAAAGGCAAAACGGAAAGAGGTTAACAACGTACGTGGTCATTTGCCATGTCTGGGATGCTCTTGTACTTATCTGGTCGACCAAATTGGACCTTTCGATTCCGGTCACGTCCAGTGAGGGTAGATGTGTAGCTAGCTTGGTAAAGACGATGGAAAGACCATCAACACCAAAGAGCCCAAAGAGCTTCGGGCGCTTTGCTCGACTCAGCTGCCAAATTCAGGATACGATGGCCCAGGGCAGCAAATGCAAGCCTGCTGTTGGGAGAGTCGATGGATTGACTCAAAGACGAGGGCATCGAGGTAATGGCGTTCCGGGTTGTCCAGGAGCCTGGAGCGCTGAGACAGAGACATGGCAGTGGTGGTATGGACCAGCGCCGCTTCTTCCATTTCGGCGCTGCAGAAGGGGATATCTCTCAAGATACTATCGGGACCGTAAGTTCCCAGCCGACGAATCATATTTTCGAAACTCTCGGCGATGCTGGCGACAAATTCGGACCGGAATGCCGTCTGCTAGTACTCAATGATCAGGCGCGGCTGGGCCGTCGACTCATCGACATATAGATAGAATGAGAGGATAATGGCCATTACCGGTCACAGGATCTACCCGACTGACGTTGCTGGCGGACGTTCCTGCTTGAATAATATGCTCCGCTTGGGATTTGTCATGGTAAACAAAAAGGACCTGGGTCGAGGCCTTGTCAGTTTCGGAAACCGATAACCAATCCACAACATGCTCGATGGGCTGGGCATGGGAAACGCTTTCCCAGTATGCTTCGTGAGTGGCGTCACGGACACTCCGGAAGCTCTGCTCAGAATCGATCTTCACGGGCAACAGTGTCGCAAGCACACAGCAGCCCATGACGTCCTGGTAACGAGGATGCTCTAGTCGCGTAGATGTAGGAATTCCTAGCAGGAATTGCGATCGCTTGGTGATACGAGCATGGAACACCTGGCACAAGGAAAGCCAACAATAAAGCGTGTGGAGGATTTCCCGCACGACAAGAGGAAGGCTTCTACCTCACTGGTTGGCAGAGGATGGTGGTGCAGGCGACTGAGTTCATGCCTGAGATAGCCTTGGGCGGTTGTAGCTCTGGGAAATCTCCCTGTCGGCTGAACAGGGCTTCGAACCATGGCTCAGACCAGGAGTGATCGGTTTGCTGTGTCCACCAGCATCAATCTTGCTCCTGTCTGTCGGTCATGGATTGGATCTGTTTTGCGGCGTATTCGGGATAGGAATGTCGCAGAAATGAGGATGGCACACCTGAAGAGTACACGTCCAAGATATTTTGTAGTAGACCCTCAAACGACCACTCATCAATGGAAAGGTGATGCACGCGGAAGTGAATTATCACATCCTGGAGGTCTGGCGAGATCTCATATACAGTGACTCGCAATGGAGAACCACAGGAAACATCGATGCACTCGTCGCCAACCTTGTGGATCAGCTGTTGAGCAGTGGTTTGGATGACAGATATTTTGCTACTAGCCGCCATCTCGCAAAGCTGGGAAAATCGCACTGAGACTAGTTCTGGCAGTAGGTCCTCTGGCGGATGAAGGATGCCGATGACTTCCGCATTGTCGTTATCATCAAGCTCGTATGTGCACCTCAAAGATTCATGGGCCCGGCATACCTGACTCACGGCATCGAAGAAACTCTCCAGATCTATTTGAGGCGATTTCAAGTGGAAGGTGAAATTACAATTGTAGGCGCCATTTTCCAGCACTTGATGAGCATGGAAGATGCTTTTCTGGCCCGGAGCAGCCCTAAATCGGGCCGAGGCCACGCAATTGAGCGGTGAAGGCGCGGCAATTTTGCTTTCCTCTTCGCGAGACTCGATTAATTGAGCCGATTGTTCGAAAGATCTGATCCACCTCATTCATCGACTCGGTGTCCACCCGTCGATTGGCGAAAACAGCAGTCGCTCCCTGCCGCACGGCGACAAGCGTATTGGGCATACTACGCACGATCGGCGTTTTTCCAGGTAATTTCTGCTCCAGCCGCGAGACTGTGATGCCGGGACACACGATTACCACGACAGGCGGGCGTGGGCCGAGCTGAAAGCTAACGCAAGCCTCGCAAATATCACGACATACAGCAATCGTGTACTGCGGCTGAGTACCAATCACTACTATGTGGACTTGGGACGAATCGGGCCCCTGCCAGATTCGAGGGTCTTGGTTGTCGGCAGTGACCAGGGCAGAGGGGTAGTCACGCTGAAGCCCAGAAAGCTGTTGGGGGTTCCGGGTGGTGAGCGACAAGCGGTAATTGGATGGCTGAGGAGACAGAGATAGGAGAAGGCCATCGACAATGCTACGGCCCAGGGTGCTGCAGCCAATGATGGTTAATTGTGTTTGCATTGTAGGCATGACTGGCATGGCAATGTGAATGAGCTCAGGTTTTTGGTGGTCTACGATGTGGTTTCTTTTATGCCCTGGTTTTCTTCTACTTTCGGTATGCCGGGGCAGATCTCTTGTTACATTCATCAGCCCATTAAAACCGGATCGGAAGGCGCATTATTGATATAACAGGACCGTTGGTCATTCAGCCGCAGCTGAAGTTCAGCAAGCCATGCAGTACCACACTTTGCGTGTTCATGACTGGGGTTAAATTCCATGTGACATGTTTGAAAAGATGAATAGCGTCAGAACTGTCTCTAGAAATACACGAGGCAAAGAAATGAAGAAGAAAAAGGTGATGGTCAAGCGAAACAATGGCCTATTTATGCCAAATAGTTTTTTAGATGCACTGTTTGGTTTTGCATAGCTCTGCTCACCCCAACACTCACTCACCCTCACCCAACTAGTGCTCTAGGTCATTGTCATAAACAGAGTAGAAATACAGCCTCACTCGCTACGCGAGCGAGGCAAAAAAA